AGCCCATTTTGGAATGAGCCAGGGGCCAGAAAATGAGGATGGAAAGGGGACAGGCACAGGTAAGAGCTGTCCCACAGTGCTGGGATGTGGCAGAGGCAGTCCAGCCTCACCAGGTCCATTGGCCACTGCCTTTCCCGTGATGTGTCACTGTGTCCCCTGCAAGAGGAACCTGTCCTGTGATTTTCCTAGTGTGTCCCACCACTTCTCCTGGGGCTCCCAAGAGGGAGCCCAGCCTTGGGCAGGGCTGCCAGTCAGGAGAACAGGGCAGGCTGGACTGTCCCTCCTGCTTGCACAGCTCCTGGAAGGGTCACAGATCCCCCCACGGAGGAGTCTGTCTGCAGTTTGTAGTCCAACAATGACTTGTGGGCCAGTGTTCATTAAAATCAGCTTTAACAATCCTGTGAAACATGGCTCTGCATGTTCTTTCTCAGACTGTTTCTCTCTGTCTGCTTCGTGCCTTGATTATGCAACTTGCTGAGGTAAAAAGCCCAACACTCAAACATTTTTCTCTTTTCCTTGATGCCAACCATTCCAGTTGCATCCATCTGTCTGACTCTGTCCCTCACCTTTATGCAGTGACTCCAGGGATGAAGATTTATATCGATCCTTTCACCTATGAAGATCCCAATGAGGCTGTCAGGGAATTTGCAAAAGAAATCGATATCTCTTGTGTCAAAATCGAGCAGGTGATTGGGGCAGGTAGGTTACCTGGGAATGGCTCAGCAGCACAGCCTCCTTCATGGTGCCAAAATTTGGGAGGATTCAGCCTGATGCCACTGAGATCTTAATTAGCCACGGGCTGGACTAGAAGGAGCAGGGGAGTCCAGCAGGGGAGAAGCAAGACCATCAGTTCCCATGTGCATATAATTCCAGATGCAGTGCTCCTCATGGATGAGAGCAGCTGGAGGGGTGGAGAGGGAGGGAACACGGATCAGGGGGTGGGTGCTCAGCTCCCAGGGGTCTGCTCAGCCAGGGGTCCCTCAGGGGCACAGCAGAGGTGGGGGAGGCTCACAGGCCCTACCTCGTGTTCACAGGGGAGTTTGGCGAGGTGTGCAGCGGGCATCTCAAGCTTCCAGGCAAAAGAGAGATCTTTGTGGCCATCAAGACCCTCAAATCTGGCTACACAGAGAAGCAGAGGCGGGACTTCCTGAGTGAGGCCAGCATCATGGGGCAGTTTGACCACCCCAACGTCATCCACCTGGAGGGGGTGGTCACCAAAAGCTCTCCAGTCATGATCATCACTGAGTTCATGGAGAACGGCTCACTGGACTCCTTCCTGCGGGTATGAGATCTGGGAGGGTGCAGCTCTAGGGGCTGTGCTAGCACAGGGGGGGTCTGGGGGGAAGGTTCTGGTGTCTCCTGTCACTGGGGCAGCTGCTGCATAGTGCAGAGGTGTGTTTTGGGATCACTGCACAGTGCAGAGGTGTGTTTTGGGATCACTGCACGGTGCAGAGCTCTGTTTTGGGAACAGAGCTGGGGTGACAGCACCAGGGCTGTCGTTTCTTACGTGTCTGTCCACTCATCCTAGTGAGAGGCTGTGCCTGCCTGCCCACAGGTGCACATCCAGACTGACCCATGGGCACCCATGAAGGGACAGTCTAACCCAGCTTTAACCCAGCAGGACTCCACCTGCTGCTCTGTCTAAATGTTTCTAGTTCTGGGTTTGAAGTGGCTGATTGACTGTGATGAAGGGAAGTAAGCTGGTGAACAGGAAGAGATTGTCCCTTCTGAGCTCTCCTGTGCAGGGTGG